TACTCAGAGAAAATGTCCGGTATGTTACAAACGCAAAATTCGAAAAGAATTAAGATATGAATGTGAAGAATGTGATACAGGACTTTGTGCAACTCCATGCATATCCGATTATTATGCAAAAAGTGAATATTAGTGAATACATTTTTAAAACTTTGTGTTTATATAGTATGATTTTATATTCTTAAACTTGAATAGTAACATTTTGCAGTGATTAATAATGTTAAAAAACTTTTATTAGTCTATTATTAAAAAACACGATATTTTTAAAAACAAGTGACATTTAGAGACCACTTTAAAAAAAGAGGCTGGACTAATAGTGACCGTAATTTAAATAAACACGGGACTGTTAAAGGTAAATATATAAAATAAATATTACCAGTATTTTTAATTATGTTTATATATTATGCACAATGTTTTCAAATTAAAGACTTCACAAAAAACTATTTAGTTCAATTCAAAATACACCAAGATAGATGCGATTCATGTAAATTTATTTATCGTTCACACTAAATAATAAATAAAATATATATATAAATTATAAATAATAAATAAAATAATAAAATATATATATAAAATAATATATATTATATATATATATATTATATATATATTATATATATATATATATTATATATATATTATATATATATATATATAAAAATATATATATAAAATAATAAATGTATATATAAAATAAATAAAATAATAAAATATATATATAAATTATAAATAATAAATAAACGCAAGTAGAAATATGATGATCGAGATATCCAAATCATGTTTCTGTGGGCATAAATCGTCCGTTAAATAGAGCTTTGATTTTAGATTAAAAATACTTCGAAAATGCTGTCTTTTGCAATAGGTAGTGCATATAAACTTGAACATTTTATCTTCTCCGAAAGATATTTCATTCGGTAGTTAATGGGCATTTAACTTATTTCGAATATCCGACTAAATAAAAAGATGAGGAACACCATTAAAATTGTTGCAAATCAAAAGTTGATGTGAACAGTAAGAACACTTTTTTAAAAAGTTCAAGACTAGTTCTTCACCTACTTTTGAGAAGTAGAGATCATTAATAGTTCTAGTTGAACTTTGCATGCACAATCGATTATTGCAAACTACTTGTGACTCAAAAGACTGAATTGGTTTAATGAAATTAATGAAATACTCCAATTGAGTTCCAAATGTTGAGATAGAAAGATTAACATTTTCGTCTTGAGAAACACAAAGCTTGCAAACATCTAAGAGCCAAACACTTTTTGCTTTATCCCAAGCATTGGAATCAATAAACCCTATTATAGAAGCAATTTTTTCTTTGAGTTCAGAGTATTTTAAATAATCAATATGTTCTGAGACAGCTTGCTTGAAGTCCAAAGTGCGAGTAAAAAATAATCAATTGTGCATGCGTTCAATAGTTTCACCGACTTTTTAAAACTTGATTTTATAATTATTCTTACCCATTTAGGAATTTTACTAAAAAAGCATGAGTTTTTACTTTGTTTTTTGTTAACTTTCAATTTCTTTGGGTTGACTAAATCATGTATACTAGACAGTGAACGCTTTGTATTCTTGACAGATTTATCTTCATCTACGTTTGAATGATCATCAAACGACTCAGAAGAAGAAACTAAATTAATTTTAGGCTTCTTTTTAAAAAACCTTTTAAATTTTTTTTGACACATAAACTTCGCCTTGCGAAGTTTCAATTTGTGTTAACATTGATGCTTCAATGTTAACAAACAAACTCTTTTTGTTTAGTTTTTAAGTTTTGACCAGCTTTTCCAAACTATTCTCTAAACGAAGCTTTACTTTCATGTTTTTAATAATTGTTTGTTTGTCATTTTTTGTTGCTTCATGAAGTCCAAATACATCTACAATTTTTCCATTTTATATCGAAAATAAAAAAGGTTTAACCAAATGTTTTTTTTCTGTACGCTGAATGTTTTTTGTTGAAAATAGTTGTTAAAAAAAATTGTTGCTGCTCTTTTGACAAAAACAGTAAGCTCCGTCAACAATTAACATCACTTGAGATTCTTTAGCGTTAAAGATTCCTTTGGCCAATTCGCTGTTATTTGCTAACCATTCATCTTATATTAGGTGACCTGCTCCTAAGGATGAAATCTTAGGGATGAAATCTTTGACAAAAGCGTTTCTAACTTGTTGCAAATATCGGGATGCTTCAAAATGAGAGTCAATGCCGAAATAATCAGCGATCGTGTATTGATCAAGTCCAGTTTTTAACCAAAACAGAAAGACGGCTAGAACTTAAAATTTAGATCTATTACTGGGATTTCTGAGTGAAATCAAATCTCCGCTTAAGTCTTCAAATTGTTGTCTATTGAATCCAGTAGTTCGTTGGCAAATAGATTTGGGTAGTTTTGAAATATCAGAAAACATTGAAAATAAGCTGCTATGCTGAGCGTAATATCGAAACATCTCTAATAAAGGTTTAACTTCTGATGCATTTAGTTTCACATTCTTTTTAATAACAACCAGCTGATTTAAAGCTTCATTGTTTAATAATCCAACTTTGTTCAAATGCTCTTCACAACATCTTGATCCAGTGGGTATAAGAATTTGTTTTTGTACATAAGCGTCAATAATACCTTGCCCTGAAAAAAATTTAAAATTTTGTGAAGAGTTATTAATGTGGCATACGAAACAATAGCGATGAGAAGCAGCTCGATGTATATCCACCAAAATTGATGCATTTTTTTCGCTTCTACCTTTGCTTTTTTTTAGCTCTATTAATTCTTTTTTAAACTCAATTTTTTAAAGACTTTAGTTCATTTTGTTCGGTGGAAAATCCGATGCTTGATTTGTTTCAAACTGTTTTACACTGCCAACTCAAGATTCTCTGTTTGAAAATCAAACGACAGAGTCTCTAAAAACCCACTTAACGGTGAATTTATTTCCTTTCTCTCCTTTCTACGTGCACTTTCAAAACAAGCAGCACAGCAATGTGTTCCAAGCTCAATAGTATTTTTGTTTTTGTTGATTTTTTTTGTATTTCATTTAGGAACCTCAACTTTGTTTTTTAAAAAAACTCTAGATATTCCACGCTTATTTTTGATTTTATCCAATCTTTTGAAACAACATCCGCATCTATATTCCCGTAAAGTTATTTCTCTCATTTTTAGCTTAACCTTGAAAAAAATTTATTTAAAACTGTTTATTCTAAACTCTTTTCATTTTGATACTTTTTAATTCTAAACAAACAACTTTTTTATATGCCCGTTGGGAATTATCCTCCGTTAAAAATTCTTTACAAAATCAAGTTAACAATACCTTCGATTAAGTCTAACGTCTTAGAAAATTAGGAGATTTTTTTTTAATTTTTATTATTAAATAGGTGGTTAGTTAATTATAATAATTAATTAATTACTTTATATAAATAATTATAATTAACTAATCGTACGCATTATAGTCGAAATAATAGTTTTTTTAGTAATTTTAGAAATTTAAAACTTGAAAGTTATACGCCTAACCTCTTCTGATTAATTTTTTATTATTTTGATAAATTAAATTTGATTTGATATAGTTTAGCAATTACTATATTTTCAATTTAAATATATATATATATATATATATATATATATATATATATATATATATATATATATATATATATATATATATATATATATATACAATAATACACAAATTACTAATATATTTCAAATTTTTGTATAATTTTATTGTATTTGAGACATGACTTATATTTGAAATATTGGGGATCCGTTAAATGTTTAAAGTTCTTGAGGCACCTATAATGATTAATAAAACAAATTTCAAATCATGAAAATTTACAAAATAAAAATCATATTTTAACAGTAGAAAACCTAAATTAAAACAATAGATTGTAAAGTAATAAAAAGTTTATTTAAAAATATTCTATTAAAAGTAGGGCTGAATCATAACCTGTAAATTTTTAAAGCCTTTTAACAAAAAGACTCTTTTTTAACCAAGTTGAAGACTTGCTTTTATGTATTGAATAAGTTCGAGGTAACATTTTTGACGTTTTGAGTCTGATGGTTAACTAGCAGTAATTTTTTAAAAGAAGTAGCTGCTCTTAAAAGTTTAACTGTTAAAATCTCTTTGAAAGCTTACATCCAGTTTAAATTAGTCATATATCCCTATGAAACGCGTTCAGAATTTAAGATTTTTGCCGTACCGACATCTTGCAGTACGGCAAAAATCTTGAATATTGAATTTGACAATAAAAAAAATGGGTGTAACTAAGCGTAATTTTAAAAATTATTGTTATAATTATCATTTGAGCACAATTTTTAGACTGCAATGTGGCGCTGTTTTTTGTTTAAAAAAAATATTTCTAGAATTTTTTGTTTGTTTTAAATCTACCAATTTAGTTTGATATAACAGGAAACGTTTTTGTGGCTTTTTCAAAATTATTACTATTATCTAATGATTGACAAGAGGAATGGGTAATACAGAATTCTTATGATACTGAAAAATTGTTTTTTAGGCAACAGGACAATCACACTAACCAAAAAAAAGTCAAATTGAATCATTAAAAACCACATTTGCAGCTTTTTCAATTTTTTTTTAATATAATGTACATAAACACTTTCGTTAACTCGACTTGTTTCACATAAATCTAAAAATATTTAAAAAAAAAAGATTTATTCAAAACAAAAACAGCAATACAATAGTTTAAAATCATAAAACGATGTAAATTTTAACAAATCTAAAAAATCTAAAAAAAATAAAATAAAAAATTAATAAAAGTTCGTATTTAATGAAATTTAAGAAAAAATAAGACACATACACAAATATATATATATATATATATATATATATATATATATATATATATATATATATATATATATATATATATACATATATATATATATATAATTAACAAAAAATTAATGCTAGAAATATACTTTTTTATTCAGAAATTTTATGAAAAAATAAAATATATAAATATAGATATCTGCTGATAAGAAAATAAAAAAATTTACAATTGTACACATTCATAGTTAATAAAAAAAATAATAAATTTAATTACTCAATATAAAAATAATTTTAATTAATTTATACTTTTCATAAATAATAAATAAATTAAACTTTTTTCCAATGAAAGTGAATTTGATGACCTCACTGTCAATGACTGCAATTATGGCATCAAGATTCTAGAGATGTAGTCTCTGAAAAACATGAAACCAGTAGAATAGCGAGACGGGGATTAAAAACATGAAACCAGTAGAATAGCGAGACGGGGATTAAAAGGGCTTTTGCCCCGAATAAAAAGACTTAAAAAAAAAACTCTTTTATGAAAATCATTTTTCTTAAAAAAATTGATTTTCTTCTATGAAAAGGTGACTTTTTGCTATTTTGGCCCCGAGTTTTGATGACCCTCGTTACGCACCGGCTTGCAACATGTTTATCGAGAATACTCTAGTAATATATAAAACTTGTGTGTATATTGTTGCGTAATATCAATTTTAAATTTGATCAACAATGTGCGATTTAAACAGATAAATTTGAACAACAGGATAAGTTCCGAATTTTCTTAGTTGTTTCCAATTCCATGTTTAATACGGGTTTAATGATACCTTCAGGCGCAGTAATGTTACTCTATAAAAAAAAGTTTACTAAAAATATTCTTCAACAATTCTTAACACAAATAGAGGTCGAGCAGCCAGTCAAATGAAAACAATTACTTTTTATATTTCTTTAGGTAAATTTCCGTTTTAATCGACTGACTCCCGATTACAATGGATTATAAAAATGCTGATTTAATCGTAATTTAATAGCTGAGAAATTAAATTACAAAACATAATTGTTTTGATTTTGGAAATCCTGACTATCCAAGAATTTTTTGTAAATTAAAATAAAACATACTATTTTACGATGATTTGCATCTTTCATATTTAATATCAGACGATGAACTGTCTAAAGAAGTATTTATTTTTGATCAAAAAAAAAAAAAAAAAATTTAACAAAATTTTTATATTAATTTTTAATAAATTTTTCAACTTTATATAAACAAAATATGAAATATTTGGTGTGAATAAATTTTTCTGTGACTAATGTCTCACCTCTTTTACATTTTCTCCAGTTTTAGCGCTTGTTTCAAAATATTTCATTCCGTTTGATAATGCCAACTATAAAATGCAACGTTTAATTAGTGAAATAAATAAGCTATTATCATTAAACTATTTTACTGAAACTATATATATATATATATATATATATATATATATATATATATATATATATATATATATATATATATATATATATATATATATATATATATATATATATATATATATATATATATATATATATAGCTTCAATTAAATAACCCTCCTTTTTTTTTAAATATAGTGTTGATCTTCAAGAAAGTAAAGTATGAGGAAAGAGAGTGGTGGGAAAAAAAAATGCTGCATCTATAATTACTATTTTTTTGGTTGGTTAATCTACCAATTGGTAATTGATAATGCAAATTTAGTTAAATTTTTTTTTGTAAATATATACTTTTCTTTATATTTTGTTTTGTTATTATGTATAAATAAATTGACTTCCAGTTAATACATATGGTGTATTTTTCTTTTTTTAATTCGATTACATTTTTTTAGATTAATTAGATGACGTGTTTGTTCAATATAGACATACAAATGAAAACTATTAAAAATTGTTATGTTTTGTTTATTTGTTAATGAATGTGTAAATAAATTTTACAAAGCTATAAAGGTGAATTTCCACTCATCCGTTTTTTTACGGGAACGGGATAAGAAAGAGAAAAATAATCACGTGAGCATGCGTAGTTTTACTTGGGACAAATTAAAACTTATAATACGCATGCCCACGTGATTATTTTTCCCTTCCCTTTCCCGTTCCCGTGAAAAAACGGATGAGTGAAAACTCACCTTAATCCGTCATGATTTGTATTTTATCTGTGTGAACGAAAGTCTATGCAAACATCTAATGTAAACTTCAAATAATGTAAATTATTAAAAATTATATTAAATGTTACAGAATTAATTTTAATTGAAAATGTTAATGCGGCAATATTTGCTTAATTTTGATTTATATGCATTTTTATAATGCATTTATATGCCGTTTTATAAAGTTTTATAAGTCTTTGGTTTGTTAAACAGTGTTAAAAGATATTATTATAGCATGCTAAAGTGATTGAAGTGCTTCGCATGGGTTTAAATCTTTTTGCTTTCACATTTAACTTTTTTTAAATCTTTTCCAGTTTTCTAGAATGTAAAGTAAAACATTTTTAAAGGTCTATAGATATAATATGCATAACATATAAAGATATTATAACAAACGAATGGGAGAGATTTTTTTAAAAAGCTTGATCATCATATATCATAATAGAGTTTAATGGGCTTAATACGCATTAAAGAGATAATTTTCTATCTTATAGAAAAAGATTTTACAAAGAAACTTTCATTTTTTTAAATATTAACAGGGCAAGAGTCCTAATAAGCTAATAAACTGCAGATGGCCTGAAAAAAAAAAAGTAACTTATTAAAGAAAGAAATAATAAGGCTCGTCTCCGTTTTTTTTTTTTTTCAAATAAAAGTTTACAGAAGTTGTAAAGAATTGAAAATTAACCGTTAAACTCAAAACAAAGATTATAGTGTACTCTTTTTAAAAAATTATTGAAATAAAGCGAAATCATTAAAATGGTAGGGGTGGAATAAACCATGACCAGTAATATATTAATTCAGTAATAATTATACGGGTCATGGTAAGTCCATTATTCCACATATTCAAGTCACCTCATGTTTTTTGAAACTTTTTATACTAATGGTAATTAACACATTTCAACCGTGTATTCTAAATATTATTTAGACTGGTACTGATATCCAATATGTAGATAAATAGCAATTCACGCAACTTCTACCGAAACGTTAAAAGTTAATTATAATAGAAAATTTATTTTATAGCTTTAAAAAGTATAAGTATAGTTTTTATATGATTATTTTTTATATGATTATTTTATATGATATTTTATATGATTATTTTTCTACAAATAAAACATTGAAATAAGGAAATAAGTATAGAAAAGGTTGGTATAAAATATATTTACCAAGACCCGTATTTTACGGGTCATGACAGCTAGAAAAATAATAATGTATTAAAAATTTTTTTCGAGATTTTTTCCAGTTTAATATTTTTGATAAAAATTTTTATTGAAATGTATGCCCCATTTTGAATCAAATTTATTTTCGAAAAAATAACCTAATTTTAAAAAAATTGTCAACAAAATGATACTGAAATTAGCTGGAAAAAGGGTTACTAATTGACTATATTATAAATTATTTTATTTCATTATCAAATTAAATGCTTTTTGTAATTTAAAATTGAATCAAATAATAATTAGTTGTTAACAATCATAATCTGTTAAAATAAGTTTCATTAAAAAAAAATTAACTGCACACTCGGTGTAGTTAAAAAAAATTAACTGCACACTCGGTGTAGTTAAAGTGATTTACAAATTAACTGCACACTCGGTGTAGTTAAAGTGATTTACAAATTATTCAAAATCTTTTATTTGGAATTAGCATGATTTTATCAGCGTATTATGTCCAAACAACTTTAGATGTTATAATTTTTTTTGCTTCAGGTTTTTTTAATATTTAAAGAATCTTTTCTTTTTTTATATAATTTTTAAAACCTTTTTACTACCCCTAATAGTGAATCTAAAGAACACCATTTTGGAGTCTTTAGATTAATTTCAATCATCGGCATTAACATGAACTTAGTTAAAATCTTTTGAAAAAGTGCCTTAACCTACTATAGATCCTAGTTCTAATCGGTTCTGATATATATTAACAAATATAGTCGTCAAAATACAATTTATTATTTCTGACCAAGAAAGAGCTTATAATTAAGTAAAAATTACCAATGATCAGAGCAGATCATATTATTTATTTTATTTTATGATGTTCACTTCACTTAAAAAACTTAAAACCTTATTCAAATTTGGTGATTGTGATTTTAAGAATTTTTTTTTAAGGAAAAGAAAAAAGAATTTTTTTTTAAGAAAAAAAAAAAAAAAATCTTTGTTTGCTACAAAAATTTATATTTTATGATACCGCAAAATTTTTCATTTTAATTTGTTTCGTTTTTTCATAATTCACAGACCTGATCATTTAACGGAAATATGTCGTAGTCAACAAAATATCATAAAGACCATATAATATTTTAAAATATCCTTAACTACACCAAGCATGCATCTACTTATTTGTATATGTGAAGTTATATATTTATTTTTTTTTATTTTATTTATTTGAGTTTTCATGCTATATTTTTCTATACAATGTTCTTATATCCGAAGATATTGTTGGCGTAGCATAGGAACAGCCACAAATAGTCATTAAGACTAATCTAAAGTGGCGTCTGTTATTGACCAACATTTTTGCGTACCGAAGTACTACTCAAGCGCTGAGTTAGTGGTGGCAGGATTTGAACTCGTATCGTTCAACAGTCCGGGTTTTCACATTTCCTTTAACGCTCTAACCGGGAGCTATCCCGCCACACTTGAGCTATCTCACCAAACCTGAGCTATCCCGCCACGAAATATAAATTTTGAAAAAAATTTACTTCAACTGACAAGAAATCATATATCAAACAAAAATATAAAATAATTAAATATCAAAAACATCTGAAGAATTTTAAATATTTTTATAACAAGTAAAATATGTAATTTTTACAAAATGTGTAATTTTTATGAAATTATTTATTTTTACGAAATTATTTATTTTTATGAAACATGTAATTTTTATGAAATGATTTATTAAGAAATTGTTTTCTCAATAAAATTTACATCATAAATAAAAAAATTGCTAAATTAATTTGCAAAATAAGGTTTGTAATAAGTTAAAAGAGGATGTTTGCAAAAAAATGCAGTTTTTTAAATTACAGAAAATAATTAAAAGCAACAAGTTTTCTATAAAAAAAGTAGTAAGTTTGCTATGGTAACAACAAGTTTTTAGGTTATTATTTATTCATTTAAAATTCTCTACCTGTTTACCTTCTTCATAAGAAATTATTCTACCATCAAGATCAATTTTGTTGCCAACCAAAAAAAGTTCCTCATTTTCTAATTTAAACTAAACAAAAATTTATAAAATTTTCAAACTAAAAATCATTCCACCTAATAAATTAGATATAAAATCTTGAAATATATTCAAAAAAGTAATACCATAATGTCATGTTTGGTCCTACCTGTTTTAAACATAAAACCCACTCCTGAACTCTATTGAATGAATTACGGTCTGTTACATCAAACAACAACAGCACACCCTAAAAATATTTTCATTTAAAAAAAGGTGCCTAGAATGTAAAAAAAAAAAAAAATAATATAAACACTATAGATAACCTTTGCTCCTCTGAAGTAGTTTTTGGTAATTGTTCTAAACCTTTCTTGCCCCACTGTATCCCTATCAAAGTAAAGTAAAAAAAAAAATTTTTTTTTACTATTATCAGTTTTTAAACATAGAACAGTGGTCTATGTCTGTGTTAACTTAAAGACTAAAATTGTATGATTTTCACATGTGTCACTGGTTTTCTCAAAGAAACCGTGAAAAAAAATAATGGAAATTTCTTATTACAAAGAATACACTTTAAAAAATTATCAATAAAACAATTAACTTGGAAATATAAATGTTACCTGTTATTAAACTAGTAAGTTCTATTAAATATCTATTTAATGTTAAAATTTTTGGAACTTTTCCTTATGTTTTGGAGAACAGCATGTGTCTATATATAGGGTAAAGTAGTCTAATAATGCTGGCAGCTTATAATGCCATTTCATTTTACTAAGTTGGCCTTACTAATATTCAGTGGTGCCATCTAGGAACCGTTGTCGGGACGTTGTCATGGAAAAACCATTTCTGAATTGCTGAATTATATCTTTTGTGGATTGTTGTCCATTTTATTGTCGTTTTAATTCATTGATGCTTATTCTTTACAGTGTAAAGTGATTTTGGACCGATATTTTTTTAAGCAGTGATCAAGTAACTATCAACTTTATTTACTATTATTCAAATCATTCATTGTTTTATTGCTATTTTTGTTTGTTCATTGTGTATTACCATATCAGATAAGTGAAAATAATCAATGGTCACAATGTAAATAAAAGAACCTGTTATACATAAAATATGTTAGTACAGCCAAACACAGGTTTATTAAATTTTGACAGACATCGCAGTCATTTGGATTAAACATCTGTATGCTTTGTCTTCACATTGCAGTCATGAAATTCATCTTATGGACAAGAGTGTTTTCAAACTATTGAAATTTTAGTATGCTGTCAAATTCCAACTTTCCTGAATGATCACTGTCAAAGCTGCAGTTTCTGCTAATACTTATTAAAACATCGCAGTGCAGCACTACACCAGTAAATACTATATTAGGATTCAGACCTATAGGAACCTATCCTTTCTACCCTAATAATATTTTGCAAGTAGCTTTTGAAATAAGAATTAGAAGATAATACCCAATTTTTAGTATTCAATTAAAGCAATATTTTTGCAATGTTTTTAATTGAATTTATTATTATTGAACTAATTATAACAAAAATAACAATAAAGATACACACAGATGAAATTTTTGTTTTTTGTAAAAGATTTTGCTAATTGAAACCAATAGCCCTTTTATTTCCTTTTTGTTTTTGCTAGAAATGAAATTCCTTGTAAAAATGTTTTAAAACTGCATCAAAAATATTTAAACACTGGATCAAACATATTTTAACACTGCATCAATTATGTTTTAACATTGCATCAAACATTTTCTAACATTGCATCAAACATATTTTAACACTGCATTAAACATATTTTAACACTGCATCAAATGTGTTTTAACACTGCACCAAAAAGATTAAACTTGTTAACAAACTAAAGTGAAACCACATGTTAACCATTTTTTTAAAAATATTTTTATAACAAATAAAACTTGCAAACCTAAATAAATTTTTGCTGAACACAACAATATTAATGATCACAACAAAATCTTTGCTGATCACAACAATTTTTATTTTTACAATATTAAAAATTTTAACTTGCTGATATTTCAACAATAAAAAATGTAAATTTTTTTTTTTTTAAAAACATCTTCGCTTCCAACAAGGCTGCAAGCAACCACTATAAGAGTTGTAAGTTACTGGAAGAGAAAAGATGAAGTTTGTAGAGCAAGATAACGATTGACAGGCGACTTAAAATATTGAAGATTATATAAATCAGGAAAGCAAAATGAAGAAGGCGAACTCCAAAGAACTGATGTTCCGCTAAAAAAACTAGAGGAATAAGAGTTTTTGAAGCACTTAGGAACAGACACAGAAAAAGGATGAGACTTATTTAAATGACAAGTAACACGAGAATGAATTTTAGTAGATGGTACAAGAGATGCTAGCTCTTTAGAGTAGTGCCTATTATAGTATTTCTAGAAAAGAGAAAGAGAAGCAATATTACAACAATGTGATAATGGTTGAAGGTTGGCTGAAGAGCAGGTCTAGCTATGTTTACAATGCGTTTTTGCACCTTGTCTAAAAGAGAAAGAACACAATTGGATCCGCCCCAGATATGGCAACAGTATTCCATACAAGGCCAGATTTGAGATTTATAGACATAAAAAATAGAATCCGGAGCAAGAAAGTAGCAAAAATGATAAAAAGATAAAACCTTTGCAGATGCTAATTTTGCAATGGACTTGATATACGGTTTCCAAGAAAGATTGGAAGTAAAAGTTAATCCTAGAAGATGAAGGGTATGCAGGACTACAACAGGTATGTTGTCTGAATCATAAGCTGTAGAAGAGTTTAAGCAGGAAATCACTTGAGATACAGAAGCTGGAGTGATATGAATGTCAAGCAATGGATTTGATTGATTTGCCCTTATTATTGATAACAGTATCAATAATAAGGGCAAATCTGTTGTTCCACCTCTCTCGTATGGTTCAGACTTTGTCACCTCACCTAAAGACAAAGCTGATCAACATGTTTAACGGCTATATAAGGTAGAATGCAACTATGTTTAACGGCTATATCAGTTAGAATGCATGTTTAACAGCTATATCAGGTGGAATCAAGAGATGATATTGATGAAAATTTCTTAGCAAACAGATAAGAACTTTTCATCAATATCATACTAAACTATACAAAAGAGGTGGAATAACAGATTTGCCCTTATTATTGATACTGTTAAAGATTCTCCAGAAGTCACGAGAGCCTAATTTTTGTGATGAAATACGAGATTTTATGATATGAGAATAGTGAGCTTTGGCGTTAGACAAAACCTTTTTACAATAGTTTCTTGCAATAGTAACCAGATGTCTGTTTCTGGAGAATTGAGAATTTAAAAAAAAAAAAAATAAACTTAAGAATTTAAAAAAAAAGTCAATTATTTGCTTTTTGTTATTTTTTTCATTTATTTGTTAGAGACAAAAAGTTTCTAAATTTCAAAGAAAAAATCAAAATTACTTTATATTTAAAAAAAGCAGAAGTAAAATAAACATTCTATAACATTAGTATAAAGCAACATAAACATTCTATAACATTAGTATATAGCAACATAAACATTCTATAACATTAGTATAAAGCAACATCAATAAACATTCTATAACATTAGTATATAGCAACATAAACATTCTATACCATTAGTATATAGCAACATAAACATTCTATAACATTAGTATATAGCAACATTAAATAATTTTAAATTCTATGATTTTAAACAAAATTAAAAAACATTTTAGTAGACAAATTTAATTTGATATTTAAAATAAAAAAAATTAAAAGTCTTACCATAATTGTGTTCTTACTTTTATTCCATCAATAATTTGATCAATCTTGATATAGTCAATGCCTACAGTTAACAAAAAGTAATTCTTTAAGGTATTAACACAAAAAACAAATTAATTTTTGATTCATTACTTTACAATTTTTGAATCATTTTAATTATTTGAACCAAATTAGTTTTTAAAAAGAGTAAGAGATTTATAACACAAAAAACTGGCTATGAATCCTAGTCATTAAAAAACCACAAAAAACTGGCTATGAATGCTAATCATTAAAATACCACAAAAAACTGGCTATGAATCCTAATCATTGAAAAACCATTTATTCTTCTAACACTGATATCAAATTAAAAGAAAATTTACTAAAAACTTAAGCTCATCAAATGTACCAAAAACTTGAGCTCATCAAATGTACCAAAAACTTAAGCTCATCATTGATTAATGAGTTTAAGTTTTTGGTACATTTGCTGATTTAGCATTTTAGCGATAAGCTGAAGAAACAACAAAGCAACTTTGATGTAAAATATCTTCATAATGGTTTATAGGATTTACTTAAAACTTGGAATTCCAATATATTTTTTGCATGCAAAATTCAAAATTTGACTTGATAGTTTCGAGACGCCTTACTTATTCAACTTTAATTGAAAATGTAAACTATCAATTGTGTAAACTGTTACAAATTATTTTGTAAATTATCAAATATTAAAGCAAAAATGGAGGCCCATGAATTGTAATAAAGTTTATTATTTTATTACAATTCATGGAAAAAATTATTTACTTATTATTACTTTATCTTTATTTGTTTTACTTTATCTAATACTTGATCAAATTATGTATTAAAAAAAAACACCTTTTCTGAATATTTTAACATAAATTTTATAACAATAGACATTGAAATATCTCTAAAGACATTTTTAATAATAAACTTATATTAATAAATTTATAATATTATTTAGGACTGACTAGTTTAGGACTTATATAGACATGGGCTTAAGAAGAAGCAAGAGAGGCAACTTCCAACTTCCACCCATATATTTTCAATATATACGAATGTGTGGTAAGTTTGTCAATGTTGTCACATAAGAAATCGTTAATTTCATTTAGTAGCAATGAAGGTAACAGTAGAGTCATACGAACTGTACTCTGCAATTGTTTGAATGATACATTTTCTAACTCATGGTCTACAAACTCTTGCTCTAAACAACTTTTTAATGCTTGAATATTAGGACATGTCAGATCTGTGAAGCATACATTTAGCATTTTCAAGAGAAAAACAGTAAAAGCCATAAAATTCTCATAACTTATATTTCATATAATTGCATTGCTGAGAAACTGTATTTTGGTAATTGTGTCTGGTAGGGTTTCTTTTTTTTTTTTTTGGCAATTGAAGAATTCCTTGCTCATGCATTATTCAAACAAGATGCTATAAAGTAACTTTATATCTTTTCACATGATTCTGTTAATATGATTCTTTTTGTTCATGATTGCCATAAGGTGCAAGCGTTAACACCTTATGACAAATAGAGTCAAATACAGTTAGTTGAATTTTCTTATTTTGATTAATATTACAAAAATTAATATGATCATGATCTTTGCTTATGTTCTTGTTTTAAATGGCGCTGTTCATTTCTGTTGTTAAAGAAGTTTCTTCAATATTATATGTTAAAGAAACCATTTTTGCAACACTCTATAGTTTAGTCAAACTGAAGACTGATCCCAAGAAATTCAATAGAGGTATCAAACTTATACATTTTCTCACTTTGATTCTTTTAGTGACCTTCATCAGTTTCTACCTATTTTTTGGAACATTTGCTGCAAATTCACAACCATTTTTTACACCGCTATTTTTTACTTTACTTCCGTGTTGCAAAAAAATTGCAACACTTTATTATTTCTCTCTCGACAAAAATATTACGATGAAATGCAGTATTAACAATAAGAAAGCTTTATTGAACAATTTTTATGGAAATTAATGTTAAGAATTTTTTTGTCACATTTATTCATATCTAACATAATTCTTCTTTATTTACCAACTAAAAAAAATTCAAAACAATAAAATTCTCAAAATAATTGTTTAAGATAACAGAAAAAAGCAAAGTATAACCTTTAAAAGTATAACCTTTTGAAAATTTCAATTTTATGTTTCTAATTTTTATGTTAATAAACCTGGGGAAGGATCTCCCCCGGTTTATTTTTAAATTAAATGAACTAATACCCAGCAAACCATGATGCTCGGGCCCCGCGCCGTATTTATCTGGGCTAGTCTGGGTAATTTAGCCTGGGTTCAGCGAGGTTTTTGTGTCGGTTTTAGTGTGGGTCCTGTGTTGATATCCCGAACCATCGTGAAACAAATTAAATACACGCTTTCCAATATTACAAATACATCAAAATTTATTTATATCAGCAAATTAAAAATTTGGGAATTTAATTTATGGATTTATCTATGACATAGATATACATGGACTATGTATTTATTTATAAGAAATGTTTATATATTTTATATGAATGTTTATATGTTTTATATGAAAGGTTTATATAAACTATTTTGCATAATCTATAGATTATGTAAGTACATATATGTATTTACTATAATGTAATTATATTATACTTACTATAATGTAATTATAGTAAGATCATTATTTAATAATTTATTCTGATGGAACTTGGTAATAAACAAAATAATGATTAACATATGAATCATATGTTAATCATTATTTTGTATTACACGAACATTCATATTTCATCAGGTAATCTATTGCATGTTTCGTCAGATAACCAAGTCCCATCAGATAACCATAATATTTTATTAAAACTTATATTTGTATTATCTTAACATATTTAATATTTAAGCAATAGCTGTTATCAGAAAGCATTAAATAAATTTAAAAATTATAATGGCAGCATTTAATGGGAACGTTAATTTCAAGACGTGTTCAGATAGAACAAAAAGAAGAAGAATTAGATCAAGAGTTTCAAACGTATTTACTGAGTTATTTCAGAAAGATAAGTTCGAAAGTATTTCCATGCTAGATAATCTTGTTATTACTTCAAAGACTGTGGATGACTTAAGCTTTAGTAAATGTAAAAAAAGTGTTGATCATAATGCAAACGAACACAAAAATGAACTTTTTACTATTTTTGATAGATCTCAAAGAGAGTTTTCAGAAATGTTCTCTGATAATATTGAGTCAAGTGTTAATTTTGATTATAGTAGATGTGATTTAGAAGCTGATGAAGTTAGCAACACCACATAATGATAATAATAATGAAAATGATGACTGTACACTAGTAAATAAAATTCGAGATTGGGCAATAACATATCGTATATCTCATTCAGCTTTAGGAGGTTTATTACACATATTGACTCCATTACACACTGATCTTCCTACTGATTCAAAAACCCTTTTAAATACTCGTCGAAATATTGATATCAAGCATGTTGCAGGTGGAGAATATTATTATTTTGGGGTGCAGTATTGGTTACAAAACATTTTAAAATTCAATCTGCCTATTTCTCAAGTTGATCTTTTACATATTCATATTAACATTGACTGTATACCACTTTTTAACAGCAATTCTATTTCTTTTTGGCCGATTCTTGGTTCACTAAAAGAGTGCCCATCAGGTGGAACTTTTCCTATTGCTATATATAGTAGCACTAAAAAACCTACTTCTCTTAATGAATATCTGAATGACCTTGTTTCAGAAATGAAGAGCTTAAAGCAACATGGCTTTTTATTTAATAATAAAACTTACATAGTGAAAATTGATGCTATAATTTGTGATACACCAGCAAGGGCTTTTATTAAATGTATTAAGCCTCACTCTGCTTATAATTCATGTGAGAGATGTATGCAACGTGGCAAATGGTGTAACAAAATCACACTTCCCAAAATAGCGGCAGCACTAATTACTGACTTGATCTTTACTGAGCGTCATTATTCTGAGCATCATGTAGGTACTTCACCATTGGAGGAGTTGGGTTGTGGTATGGTTACAGAATTTCCGTTAGATTATATGCACATTGTGTGTTTAGGTGTTATGCGTAGGATTCTGTTTAAATGGATTCATGGGCCGCGTGGAGATTGTAATCTCAGTTACAGTTATCCATGATATCTGACAACTTAGCTGTGATTCGTAAACACATCCCCAGAGAGTTTTCACGAAAACCACTCTCTACGAAAATCAATCTCTTTCAGAATATAAAAAATGGAAAGCGACTGAATTGAGACAATTTTTATTGTACACTGGGCCTGTTGTCTTGAAAAATGTTCTAAAAGACACAGTTTATTCTAATTTCCTTGATTTGTCTGTAGCCATACGAATATTGCTTAGCCCAAATTTGTTGTCAAAAAATCTTGACTATGCCGAACAGCTATTAAAATACTTTGTGGTCACATTTTCAAAGTTGTATGGTGAAAATCAACTTGTTTATAATATTCATTCTTTAATACATTTACCAAGTGATGCTAAACGTTATGGTGTTCTTGATAATGTATCAGCATTTAGATATGAAAGTTACCTTGGGAGATTAAAAAAATTAGTTCGCAAACCTCAGAATTCAAGTGGTACGTCGAATTATCGAAGGGCACTGCAACATCAATGAAGACACTTCTAATAAAAAAGATCCAATTTTGAAGAAAATTCATTTAGATGGTCCTATACCGGTTGAATACCAAAAATATATCCAGTTCAAACAATTCTATGGAACTGATTATTTTGTTTCTACATCCATTGGAGATAATTGTTTAAAAATTGAAAGTAAGTTAGGAATTGTAAAAAATATTCCGCATAATTCCACTTTCGCTGAACCTAATAAAACTTTAGTTGTGTTTGAAGAATTTGAAGATGTAGAACTATTTTTTTCAGATCCAGTTGGTTCGATTTCAATTTCGATTTCGCTTTCAATTTTTTTTGTGTTCAAACTTACTGGCATAAGGCAAACTTTTCCTGTTGCTAGTTTAGTTACGAAGTATCTTCTACTTCCATATAAAGAAGGATTTGTCGTTTTATCTCAAATGCATTTTTCATAATTTTTAATAAAATTATTTTTAAGTGATTTGAATGTTTTACAGTATAGTTTACAATGTGAATGTTTTACATACATTTTATTATTCCATAAATAATTAAATACAATAAAGTTTCTACTTTGACATGTTTAGATGTGATATTATTTTAAATTATTTGCTTTTGATTTAAAAAAATTATTATAAAAAAAAAATGAGTTATTAGCTTTATGATTACATGATTATTGTTTATTTAATTTCGGCATTTAGTTTGCTATTTAAATATGTATGCTATTCTCGAGTATATTGAGACTAAAGAGATTGATTTTCTGCCAATCAAGTGGATGGTTGAACGACTCAACTGGGATGTTAAAAATTTAATCAAAAATAAAACTGTATTAAGTTTTTACTATCCACCAGTAAAAGCAGCAAACAAAGTGTTGAATGCAAAAAAAAAAATATGCAGTAATCCAGAAGAACACTGGCATTTATATAAAGTAAGAATTCTAGGAACTGCAAGTAAGTATTGTTTAATTTTTAGAGATTCATGTCTCTCTTTTAATATGAAATTGAAAGTTCCTATTGGGACTCTAAATTAGTCATATACAAAATGCTTTGGTAATTGTAGAAAGGAGATATCTTCTTTCTCTCGTTCCTAAAATATTTTGTCTATGTATATTTTCTACAGCTAAAAGTGTACATAGATGCAAGAAATTAAAAGAAAAATGATTTAAAGCACAATACCAATGTTGTTTAAAAATATTTAAATATTTATTTCAGTGTACACAAAATATGAGTAATTAGTTCTAGAAACACTCATAAAAGCGTGAAAGAAAAAACAAAGCAGGCTGAAGATACATCAAATGTTGATTATGATACGAATGATTCTAGTAATTGTTGAGATATGGAAACACGAAAAATTAGGTTTGTGAATTCAAGTAAAGTTTCTTTTACTTTTCAAAATATATTTGCTGGTTTCATTTTTAGCTTGATTTTTCTATATATGAGTATATATGAATATGAATAGTATATATTAAATTAATTGATATGAAATTAAATATGAATAATAATATTATATATGAATAATAAAATCAATTAATAAAATTTTTTAAATTTATTTTTATTTTATAATTCAAAACATTATTGTTTTTCAGAAAAAGAAAACATTCTTTTATCTATGAAAGTGAAGTTGCTGATGATGAAGTTGAAGACAATTTTCAAGAAAGCGAAACAGGGTTAGATAAATTAGTTCTATTTGCATAATCTATATAATTTTATGAAAAAAATTCTAAATAAAATAGTTTTAAAATTATTAAAAAAAAATTATTTTTTGATTTTTAATACTTTATATTATCTGATTTTTTCAGGTTTTTTATAGAAGAGAGGCGTGAATATTCTTTAATAGATAGATAGGTAGAATAGTTAAGTGTCTTATAAAATCTGAAAAACTAATTGTAAGGGTATTAATTAGATGATTGCTAAAATAAATTGGAAAGTTTAATACCCAGAGGCTATTAAAGTTTATATTCATACTATTATAGGAGGTATACATTGGTTTTAAAGTTTAATTTTTGAGTGAGGTAGACCTGCGATTAATAGTTTGAAAATTTAATATATCCTATTATATTTTTATCTATTTTGTTTTCAAATTGTTGTTTCAGAAATACAAACATCTGTAGTATTACTAAACCAACACCACCTGATCACTTGATGGCAATACAGTCAAGCTCAGGGTTGCATATGTCAAAATATCTAAACAATCCACATTCCAATACATCTGATAGCCAGCCTGGTATATTACACCCTGGTGTGTTGTCCAATCAATCAAAAACTATCATGGAAACACCAGTTCACGTGTTAAGTTCGATCAACTCATGTAAGCTAGTTTTCTAAAGTTGCAAATTTCTTTAATTAATGATTTTTTAAAGGTTTCATTAAAATTAGTTTATTGAACCTTTGACTGTATAACTCTTGAATATTAAAATAATTATGACTTTTGAATATTAAAGAAATATTTTAAAAAGATTAATAATAATAAAATTAATAAAACTTAGTAATATAATAATTTGTTGCACAGCAAGTGTTTTGCTAACTTAACCTTTATTCTGGCAGAACACAGTAGCTGTGGCTAAACCTATGTATTTATTAATTTGATAATTTGTATTATTGTATTTACATTTAACAATTAAAAAAAAAATGGTTTAGCTGTTTTTTTGGAGAGGTTAATAACAACCTTTGAAGCAATTAAAGAAACTCAAAAGTCTCATTCTGCAATGTTGCAGTCTATTATGCGACAAATCTATACATCTCAGGTGGAAAAAGTTAATGAATTGCCTGTAGGCATTGACCTTCCAATTTCCAGTATCAAAGATATTAATGATTTGGAGGAGCAGTTAAAAGATCGATCAATAAAAAGAATATTGGTGAGAGGTAACTTTTTTTTCATTGTCTAAGAACAATTTTTTTTTCATTTATTGGTTTATTTTAATGTATTTTTGTCTTTCAAGCCTCTTCAGACTGCCTTTATTATATTATATCTTGACCAAAATCCACCCTCGCCATTTTGTTCAGTAGACTCAGAGTACAGTGTTAGACTAGCATTTGGTCATAAAACTAATACAAGTTGAGTTACGTAAATGGTTTGCTAACGCCCGAGATCGAGGCCAAGACAGCCGGAAAAAAAATCTATATCAGATCATGCTGATTTGTTATTATCAGAAATATAGTTAAAACTTAAAAAATATTTGTCTATTAAATCAAATATATAAGATTTACTACCTTCTAATATATTCAAGAATTGCCGTACGGTGATACTCGTACATGTAGTTGTGCAAGTCGTAAACAGGTCTCTATAGACACGAATTAACTTAACAAATAGTTTTATTACCAAATAATTTAAACTATTTTGCAATCAATCCTTCCAAAAATGTGCCCGTGCGGTTCCCGGTCAGAACCCTTCTAAAAACGTTCCCATGCGGTTCCCGTGCGGGTCCCCTGGACAAAACCTTGCAGGTTCGACTGGGATTCCTGTACGGGACCCAAACTTAAAACATGCGGGTCCCGTGTTGGCCCCGAGTCGTTTGGCTGGCTGGGTAATGAATAATTATTTCTAAAATACAATTTAAAAACATAAAACATTTTGAGATTTCAAAATGTTTTTATTTCAAACAAAAAATTTAATTGCAGTTGTAAAATAACTTTTGTTATTAAAAATAACAAATTCCAAATTTTATTAAAAATCTCTTGAGCACCAAAGATTTGGAATCCACCACTAGTAGATCTGCCAAATCTAATTTATTTTATGAATTGTTCAAATTTAAAGTAAAATTGTTTTTAGAGACAGGCTCTCCTGAACAGAAGAGCAAATTTATTTTGTTAACAAATTTTTAAGCAATCATAAAAACTATAATTGATAAAAGAAAATTCAATGGTTGTTAAAATGTATTTTTTTAAAAATCTGAAAAGATATTTTTTATACATTTTTTTTCAGTAGCTAAAGACAAAGTTAATGTATATAATAAAAATCAATATTTTTTAAATGAAAATTGGATAAATGATACATTTTTTGAAAGTATCAAGCCCTGAGAGTGTTGTTTTCAAAATCCTTGAGAATGCTATTTTGATAAATCATAATAATAACACTTTAGAAAATTTGATGCAGACTAATGTGTACTTTTAGTTAAAATTTGATGCAGACAGATGTG